CAGTAAAAGAAGTTAAAGTTGACTTTGATTTTCTTCTATAATAGTTACTGGGCTGTAACAGCAATATAAGGGGAAAATAAATAAAAGAGTAAAAAAAAAATTAAAACCTGACAAACCTGTACAAAAAGAAATTTAATTAAAACCTAAATGAAACACATACATTTTCAAAATTTGTAAAAGTATGTACCATGCTTGACTGCCTAATAAAATTTGGAATTGAGTTCCACAGTTTAGAAGCAGAATAACAGAAAGAGGCCTCTTCACATTTTCTGTATTTTATTTATTTACAGAAGGCCAGTATGTGAATCTAAGATCACGTGTTTCGTGTTAGAACAGACAGACAGACATTCTGTGAGAGATGCAGGTGGTAGACCATTTAGAGCTTTAAAAAAGAACAGGCCTACACTAGTAAAAACTAATAAGAGAATCTGTCATTAAAATGTAGACAGCGGCGAGTTATAGAAAATACATTGTTTTCATAGGGACCCCAGTAAAAAGAGCATTACAGTAATCATCACTGCTTGTAATAAATGCATGAACGCTAAAGCATGTTACGTTCCACACACGCACAAACATTACTCTTTGGTTGCATTTACACAAGACTTCCTCCCTCCTGCCTCCATGTTGGAGCTTATTTGGAGTGTTATCTCAGCAGTGGCTCTGTTTCTCTAGCAGTCTACTACAGCCCTCCTGCATGTGTTTTCTGTGGGAGGATTTCCGGGCTGGCCGAACATCTGCTCCACAGTAATCCACGTCACTGAATCAGGCTTGATTAGTTGACCCACTAACCCACTCGCCTGAAACTGGCAGGACTACTGCTGTGTTCAGAATGGTTTACTCGTTAACTCGTTCACTATTCACTACATAGCGCCTGCTGCAGTGGGGAACCATTAGGGTCTTCTAGGCTTTTATTAATGGCCTGATTATTTCTAGGAGCTAAAAAATACATCTGTCATTTTTAATTGAGTTTTATTCAATAGAGTCATGATTGTATTTAAACTCCTACAAGTATTACAGTACTACTTTTGTTTCATTTTTAGTTTTGCACTGAAACAAAACTGTTAATTTCTTCAAATGCCAAGCAGAAAAATGGCCAGTGAGGGTTTTTTTTCTATGTTATCTGGGTGGATATAGCTAAGCGAGCTCTCCTATTGGTTAGGCCTTCAAGAGCTAAAGAGGATCCCTAAGTCTTTAGATTAACCATCAACATAATTAGGAAGTGACAAAGAAATTAACCAATCGTGTTTTGATTTCCAATAGGGAGGACCAATTCTGTGAGGAAGAAAGGTCACACTAGGCCTTCTGGAAGTCCTAGGTTTCACACTAACTATGAATACGAGTGACAGCTCTACACTAGGCCTCTCTACTGAGTCACTGTGAAACTGCTACAAAGTAAAATTTGTGCTTATATGTCTGTCACAAGCTTCAAGTAAAACATGGAATGTCTTTTAGAAGCTTTAAATACAATGGCAAAAAATGTGCATGGGAATCGGTGTGAGTAGAGCACTAACAAACCACTAGAATCCCATAGGAACACCAACAGAAGTTACCATTATTGTAAAAAAAAATTTTCTCACATTTTGTCTGAGTTTTAACACTTGAGGCCGAATTGAAGGCTGAAAGTCATGGTTTGCAACTTGTTTGCTGTATAGTGAACTGACTAGGAAACGACTGATGTTAAATTTGGGTAACTTGAAAAGAACTGCATGCAATACAGTACATTGTTTAGGGAGGGAAGCAATTCAAACAGAGCCCAAGCCTCAAACTCTTAAAAAACTTAAGTTTATTCCCTCAGCACAGTTGTGAGAAGAATAAGCTAAAGTTAGAAACCTAAATTAAAGGTTTAACTTCTTTGTTCATCTATGTGAACAAAAACTGCATAATCTGCATGCTAAAAGGCATGCAGGCAAAATTAGAACAAATTCAGACATACTCTAAAATGTTCATCATGCAAGAAGTGTGAACCAGTTAATATAAACAAGTAGCTCCAAAGAACTATGTGGAACAAAAAGTGAAAGAAAATATTGGATTTGTTTGTACTTAAGCTTAGTAAGGAGTCCCTCACATACTGTTTGGTTTGAAGCAGAAGGTTGCCTAAATTCTTATACTGCTTAAGGTTCCTAAGTGCCATAGTTCATGGGCTTTGAGTGTAGCATTGGAAAAGCTGGAGAAAAGACTCTTAATCCATTTAATGCTTAAAACAGTTAATTAAAGCTTCCTGGAATTTAGCTTCAAGCATGTGTATTAGACACTTTTAAATACACCAGATTTCTTCACCAGCCTTATTGTCACACTGTGGGCAATGTCATGAGTCCTGCTTTAGTAAAGGTGTGCCTGCTAAGTGATGGCACAGGCTGATAGCAGGCTTGGCATGAGCTGAAGGAAACTGTTTGGAAAGTAATTACCTGACCAGCTTGGCTCACAGAAGAAATTCCTTGCCAAAATAATTCTGCATATTAAGCTCCTTATAAAGAATGCGGAGGTCTCCGGTCCAATAAAAGTCCTGAAACTGAAACTCAAGGCAAACAAAGTGTGGCACAATATTTTTTGCCTGTGTAATGATGAAGTAGAGGGTACAGAGTTTAAAAGGTTCAGCTCATTCATTTGTGAATCATATACAAAATAAATTCCAGTGACACTTTCTACTCACAAAATAAGCTAAAAACAAAAATATTTCAAGCATCTTTTTGCCGCCTCAAGAATCATATAAAATACACTCCTATGATGTTTTCCCACTCACAAAAAACTGTAAAAACAACAGAAGTTGATACATTACTCAAATTCCCTGTAATGTATTGGCTTTTGTTGTTTTTAGATAAACTGCTGAGTCACCCTTACCGGGATTTCAACTCTGGCTTGTGCCCACACTTAACCCCTTTCTGTTGAAGTACTGGGTAAAAGTGCATGTGTGAAAGGGGCTTTTCTTTCTTTTTGCCATTGCTAGGATAGGTAGCGCTTAGCACTTGAGCTACAAGTATCAAATTTCCTTGCACAATTCCATCCAGCTAAATGATTAGAATACATTGTCAGTGTACTGAGCCTGTTTAAATAAAGGATTAAAAGTTTAAATATTCAAACGTTAAATTAATTAAATGTTAAAGTCATTTTATATATATATATATATATATATATGTATATATATATATATATATATGTATATGTATATGTAGTTGCATTTTGATAAATTGTGTATTAGGATATCGTTAAGAATTCATAAACAGATGAAGGAAACAGGGAACAGGGAAGGAAAAAACAGCGTACAAATAAACAAAACGCACTTGGGTCACAATTAATGTAGGGCTGTAGGCTTACCTTTTTAGGTGGCAGCACTGGTTTTGCTCAAAAAAATTAGCAGCACGCATATTTTTTAAAAATAGTCAAGGGAAATTGGGAGCTTTTCATGTCAGATGAGTAATGGATGCCGCCCCTTCAGATGAGCTAACAGAGCTAACATTGGATGCCAATGAGGAGTGTTGATGCTTTTCTACATGAGTTCGTTTGTCAGAGAAATATTTTTTCACTGTTTCCGGAACTACCTAACATCAGCTTGAGTAAAAGCCAAAGCCCTTACTTTGTCATTCATGTTCCATCAGAGTATCAAAGTGTAATAAAAATGCATACTTATTTACATACAAAAACAAGCACTCACCACATTCCTGTTAAAACAATTCTCGTTTCACTGAATTGTTGGCTTGTATATTTTTCCTGTGATTAAAAAGAATTCAGTATTTTAATACTGACACCTTGAACGGGTAGCTGATGTCTTGAGTACCTGTGTGCATCCCTAATTGTCATGCAGCACTTGAGCAAACGTCTCTTTGGCCTGTTTAAAGACTGTTCATGAATCAGAGTTATTGGTTGACCCACAGGCTCAGGCCTCTCCCCTGTAACGGTATGAAAGAAGTTAACTCTCACCATGGCACACCTCGCTTTGTCTGTTGCATGTCAGTGTGGTTTGGCCTCAGGCCAGATTTGTATCTGTATGTCAGCTTTCTCTCCACAGTGGGTAATGCTTATTACTTCAGTGGAGGAAAGGGACTCTCCTGTATTCAGTGCAGTCCACAAAGGTCTCTCTGGTACTCTGAGATTCCTTACTGATCTAACTACAGACTAAGCCACTGTTTTTTTTTTTTTTCTTTATTTGTTTCACATAGTTCTTCAGAACAAATTAATGCAGATTTCATGCAGCTGCACTGTGTTCTGTCTGTGCTTTTTTTGAGTTGTATTGAAATCATTTTGTATTTCTTCCAAGAGAATTTGACGTTTGAATTGAAGTTAGTAAGCAGATTTCAGCTTTTGTTGCTTCTGGGGCTGAAAGTTGTTTGAAAGAAAACCTACCCTGCCCATTTCGATTTGAACCACTTTTAAGGTTTTAAAAATACTTTACATTACAAACAGATGTCTGCTGTGTAATTTTCTGAAAGTTGCCGACTGGCATCCAAAACCTCAAGTGCCGCGTGTTCTTAGTACGTAGCAATTAGTCCTTTCGTTTTGTAACAACAAACCCCAGAGTTTTTCACAAGCAAAAAGCCTTTTTCCTCTTGCTTGAAAATTGAACTGTGTCCGTCCCAAAAGGCCTCTCCTCGCATGCTCAGCCTTTCACAGTTATCTGTTTGCAAACAGTGAGGCTGGAAGGCTGCTGTTTAGGGGGCTTCAGTTGTGGCCTCGTGTCTCCTTGTGGCAGTGCACCTTCCAGCCAGGCCATGCACTGCCACGAGCCGTTGAAAAAGCCTCGTGTCTCACTTCTACGTGTAGCAGCTGTCTCCACAATCCGTTATCTCCCATAACCCCCCACGCACTAGAGGGCTTCAGACCAAACAGTGTAGAGCTGAATGTTTCTGTAAAATACTTATGTTTTGACATTCATAAAAACACTCTTTCTTTCTTTTTCTCTCTTTCTTTCATTCTGTCTCTCTCTGCTTTCTTTCTTTCTTTCTTTCTTTTTCTTTTTCTCTCACTGCCGTGCTATCTCTCTCCCTCTCCTCTCTCTCTCTCTGCAGTCTAAGGCGGATGGGCAGACCCTCCTCTCTGAAGTGTTCCGGAGGATCAACCTCATCGAGAGCGATTATTTTGGTCTGGAGTTTCAGAACCTGCAGTTGAACTGGGTAAGTGGCTGCTTGGTGAACAAAGCTCCAGTGTGCTCAAAGCCCTGACCGTGAACAAGTCTCTAAAATCTCTGCAGTGCAGCTCGTAAAAGACTGCCAGCTTTATAATGGTGTGGCACTCTGGTCTTTAGGGGTTTTCTGGTCTTTGTTGCTTAAAGCTGTTTGGCACTGGAAAAAAAAGACTTGAAGTTGATGTTCTTCAGCGCATATCTAAAAATGGACTGGACAATGCAGAGGAGACTAAAGGCCATATTAGATTGGAATAGCCGAGCGAAGTGAATGTGGAGGACTTTCAGTAACTGAAAGAAGGTTGAAGAGGCTAAGAATAGATTTTAGGAACCTGAACAGCCAAGTAGACATGGCATATAGAGATGGGTATTGGATACCAGATCAGATTTTAGAGGAAAGAGAGTGATCTAATAATCTAAAATGAAGCAGCACACACTCACATTGTGTCATAGGATGTTAGCTGTGTATTTCTTCTTGTAGGATTGTAAAGTTTAATTAGTTTGAGCATATTAGACTGCTGTTAGATACACATCATAAGCGATGTGCTTCAATAAAAAGCATTATAGTCACAAACATGTAGAGATATATGTTGGTTGAAATAGTTTTAATCATTTTAAATCAAATGCGAATCAAATGCAAATAGTGCAAATTCCAAATTTAAAGCACTGCATTCCCAGATTCATGTCTACTTAATATCTTGCAAATAAAAATTTACTATAAAATGTAACAGCAATGAGTGAATTAGGTTTTTATTGAGAATTTTTATTCTGCAGGCAGTATTTTCTTAATAGGAAACCAGTTCAACCATCACTGTTTTGTAGTAAAATATGCTTTGGGAAAAATGACATAGAAAAGAAAGCCAATTAAAATAATTAGAGCCAATAGAATGACTTACAATTTGCATTAAGATATTTAGTTGGCATATTTGTCTAAAAATAATTTAACGTCTAGTATTTATATAATTTTGACTTTTTTTTGCTTAAAGTTTTTAATTTGACAATGTGATTTAAAACAACAGTGCAATCTCCATTTGAGCAAAACTACACACCTAGCCTAATGCAGCTCAAGAAACCTGGCTTAGTACAGTTTGCATTGGGTGTTTGTGTGTGCTTGTCCAGGCTAGCTGGGTGATGCACAAGTCTTTTGTTATAGGAAACAGTTTTCTAACCCTGGTTGTGTTGCCAGTTTGGATTTCTGCAGTTAAACTGTCAAGGAAAATTGACTGATAACGTATTTCGTAAAAGCTGCTACACCCCTATTCTGCAACTGCTTTCTCGACACTGTGTGTGGTGGTGTGATGCCACCATGCTAGATCAGAGCATTATCAGATCAAAATATAATCATGTAACTGGATTCTAGTGTAATTTCAGAATGTAATATAAACGGTAACAATGTGAAATGGATTACTTATGATTAAAGTATCAGCCAAGACACGATTGGAAGTTTACTTTTTTTGGTTTTTATGTTGGGGCTACAAGGCTAATAACTAATTAGTAATGGATGATTGTAACATCTGTTCAGCATTTTACTACTTACATGAGCAAATGCTCACACACTTGCCTTAAACCATATTGAGATAAGTAATCTTGAACAGACTCGGTTCTGTGGTTTCTGTTGTCTATAAAAAAAAAAGTCATCAAAGTCATTTGAAGCTTAATTTGTTTGTAATTTTTTTTGTAGATTTTTATAAATAACAATACATGATGTTTTGATAATAATATGTCCACATAAACTGATTGGCTACATTTGGGGAGTAATAAAAAAGTTTGTGTATACTGCACAAAAAACTGCAATTTCTGCAAATTACTTGTAGAAAAGGGCGTTGTTGCTAACTACCATTTTTATTAACTGAATCAGTGCTTAGTAGAGATCACACAAAACCAATACCAGGTCTTGGGATCAAACAGAGAGTGTTGGACCGGATATCAGAGGGGAAATAAAAGAAGGAATCCAATCCAGTCCAATCCTGTAACAAACCTAACCTTAAACAGCACACTCTCACATTGTGTGATGTGATGTTAGCTGTGTTTTCTTCCTCTGGAATAGTTCTTTTTCTGAAATCCAGAGTTCAGGTTTTTTGTGACATTGTGTCTTTTTCATTTGGTTTCACTTCACAGCAGCTAACAATGCACCAAATTATACAAGTGGTTGGTTGTTTGTTTGGTCAGAAATTTGACAGGGATACAAGCACTCTGTTGCTTTCACCTTTGCCACCTTTAAAATAGGCCAGAAAAAAACATTTCTTTTAGTTTTTACTAACCTATCACTGTTACAATCCAAATCTAACCCTCTTACGTATATTCTTGACTTAAGTGTATTATTCTACACTCCTATAAAAGATAAAAGGTTCTTCAAGGATTTTTGGTAGTAAAGACAGTGGTTCTATATAGAACCATGGACACCAAAAGAATCCTTTGCATGATTAAAGGGTTCTTTGCATCATTAAAGGGTTCTTCAGATTGATGGAGAATGTGCTATAGATGGTTCTATATAGAACCCTTTTGAAAAGGGTTCTATATAGCACCAAAAAGGCTCTAGTACTACAAGATTGACATCGTCACAATAGCAGAACCCTTATGGTGCTATATAGATCTCTTTTCAAAAAGGTTCTGTAAAGAACCATCTGTAGCACATTCTCCATCAATCTGAAGAACCCTTTCATGATGCAAAGAACCCTTCAATCATGCAAAGGGTGTTTGAGTGTTCATTTTCTGTAATAAAGAACCCTTGAAAAACCATCTTTTTTAAGTGTGTACACATACTTTGAATTATAATAGAGATGCTTAACGTCAATTTATACAACAGTTAGTCCCGGCCACGCAAGCTGATTGGTTGAGAAGCGTTCTAACCATGCTGTTATTTCGCCATAACATCACGGGTTTTTCATAAACACTGCATCACTCCGCTGAGACGCTGTTGCTAAGCAACAACTGTGACACCTGTAGGAGACGCTCAAGTCATTTGAACATTTTTACTTCTTACTTTGCGCACAAACAGAAAACGGATACTTTTAAGATAAGTAAGGTAATTGCCCTGAGCAAGAATAGAAATAGAAGAAAATAAGAAGAATAGAATAGAACAAAAAAAGTGGACAAGGAAAGAACTGAGTGTGAAACGAGTGTAATGTGTTGATCTGTGTAAGGAGCTGGAGAACGAACTGCTGGCTGTGCAGCGAGTGGGCGGAGTTCGTTACTCTGTGACCAAATCACAGCCATGATGTTGTTTCACGATAACACACTCAGTCTCGTGTTCTATTGTATAAGTTTATCCCAATCAAAGCAATACAAAAATAAACTGTTCTTGATTTCTGCTTCTAAATGATTAAATGATTTCTCAGGTTGCTGCTACTTGTCCAAAAGTCTGTTGTGCTGTCTATGTGCCAAAATCAAACACATTTATTCACCATTTGTTTATTGCACAACTGCTGTTATTAGCAACAGCTACCAGCATGCTGCCACCACGAGTGAACTGAACCAGGGTTCACATGTAAGCGGACCAAGACCCGCAATTTTTCACAGTCATGGTACTGTTGTTTGGTGCACGTCAGAGTATAGCGTAGTGTTCACATCTGTCAAAATGAACCAAACTAAAGAACCAAACCGAACAGGTTAGGTGTGAAAGTGTCCATAGATGCTCATCTTAAAGAGACTATATTGTGTAAAACTGATTTCTCCTCACTGTTTTGAAATAAGAGTTTGATGTTGTGCGTAAATATTCCTCACATTTCAATGGTGCCTTTCACTCTCTAGTCCAAACAGTCCATAGGTGGAAACTAAGCTGTAAGAGCTTGTTTTAAATTCATGGTTTCTGTGATGTCACCAACACATTTACATACATTTTCATATTCACCTTACAGGACTTTACTTGACCCACAGTCATGGGTTCAGTATTAGTGTCGGAAAAGAAAAAGTGGTATCATACCATCTGTAGTGTTCAGCTATGCTGATGTTCAGTGTGGTTGGTGTTGGTTAGGTTCTGTTTGGGTAAAGGGTGAGTCAGGTGTCAGACGTGTGCGTGTATGGAGTTGGCTAATGTGAGATCCGGTGTCCAAAGGACAGCAGAGCAGTGAGGAGGGAAGGTGTGGTGATGAAAGGTGCATTCCTGCCACAATCAGTCCCAGATGTGCAGAGAGGAGGGGGAGGAGGACCTCCTCAAAGAAGCATTGCAACTGGGGATTTCTCTAGCACACACACACACATACACACACACACTCTCCCACACACACACACACTCCACTTACTCTTACACAGAGCTAGAGGCATAACACAGCATAGCTCCGCTTGAATCACCGTAGTATTACAAGCAATTGTCAGTGTTATATCAACATCAAACCTCAGTTAATACAGTAGGCAGGAAGCACTGAGTTCTGAAACTCAGCACTCAGTGCTGTAAACTTTGAAACACTTTCCGAATGTATTCATCTTTTTTCTCAAATGTGTATTTGACCCAGAGGTTATTGTATGCAGTTCAAACGTCTGGAAATGTCCATGAAAGAACAAACAAGTTGAAGCTGTTTTCGAATACCACTGAATTCTAGAGTGAAGAACTTTCTAAGGTAGCATTCTAATGCCGCTGCTCTGCACTCTTTTGTAGGTTTGGCTGGAGCCCACCAAACTCATTGTGAAACAAGTGCGACGTAAGTGCTCAGACAGATTCGATTGTTATTTTTGTGGGATTTTTGGGAGGATATTTTGAGAGTTTGTGACTGTGTGTTGGTGTGTGTCTGCGTGTGTATTACAGGGCCAATGAATACACTGTTTCGGCTGTCAGTGAAGTTCTTCCCACCTGATCCAGGTCAGCTTCAGGAGGAATTCACGAGGTATGTGACTGCTGCAATTATAACAAGTTACAGCTGGACGAAGCTGCTGGCAGTATTTAGCCCCTGCAAAAGCAGAATATCAAATCTAAAGGTTGCTTTATAGGGCTGACACTATCAGTAGTACTCAGAATCAAGTATTCTACCTATCATTTTGATGAGCAGTTAGAGTTAAATAGGTTGAACCACAAAAATGAGTTTAACTGAACAATAACAAACAAAAAAGGCTTTTAAAAAGTATAATAAAGCTATGTGGCAAAAAAATGTGTATAAACGGGTGTAAATCAGCCTGTTTCTTACTGTATGGAGGTCTAGTAGGAGAACTTAAAATGTGCATTAAACGTGATGCAAATTGCTAACTAATCATTGCTGAATCATTAAGAGAGTACATTTCAGTTAATGATGAATAGCTATAGCAGGATTTCTTCAGGAAACTGCATAATGCCTGGGATGGGGCATGGATGGTTGGTTGTTATTTATTTATTAAACACGTTTATTCACTAAAAACAAAACATGTTTCAGTTCCGCACAATCAAGCTAAGTGGCTACAGAAACATTAGAAGTTCTGTTCTTCCATAATAGATTAATTTTAATTTCTTGATGATATACCACAACCACAACTTTTACTGAACTACACGTGATGTTATTTTATTTGACAAAGATTAAGCTTTACACGCTGTCACTGTGTTTGCTCCCGCATCTGCTTCAGTCTTAGAAACCATGTAAAAATTCCCAGAAGAAAAATATTGCTGTTATGATTGTTGTAAGTAGTTGTGGTGGTAGCAGTATATCTGTAAATACTGTACATGCTAATGATTCTGCGTACATCATTTGTGATGTTCCAGGAAGCATTCGCAGATTTACTTACAGAGATGATGATGATGATGATGATGATGATAAAAATAATAATAAAAGTAATACTTTTTCCTTTGGAAATGTTTAGCCACTCCCAAATTGAAATTGACGTGGGAGAAAACACAGTAATAGGGGGTGAGTTGGAGGTTGATCCTTCTAAAATAAAGGGTAAAGGGTTGGGCATTTCTATGGTATTTATAATTATTGTGGTAAATTATGTCACATTACATAAAAATACACTTTTCTGAATATACCATAAAATTTGTTAGTACTTCGAGTCTCATTAAAAGGGAGCATAATTAGTCCTGTTTATGCACTGGATATAGTGCAGCGCAGTATGTGAAATGTAGAATGAAAATGATTGTAATAAGTATGATCTTTTGTTTTTTTTTCATTTTTGCTGGTGCATTCTTTATGTTTAAACTTATTAAATCTATATGGTGAATACGTGTTGTGATTTTAAATTGTTGCCTTATTGCCCACCTCTAAGCTAAAGAAAGGTAAATATATACCAACTGAAGCCGGATTAGTAGTTTTCCATGGTTGTTTTCCTCATAATGACCTGCACAGGCCTTATTCACTCATACTTCAATGTGGTTTTGTGTGATTTTCTGTTAGGTTTTTTTTTATTATTTGTTTACATTGCCTCATGGTGGCCTGAAAAATGAAAGTTCTACTGCATTCTTCCTGGCATTGTTTCTGCTGAAACAAAAATGATGGGACTGGATGGCTGGCACAAGCCAGTAGGGTTACAGTGGGGAAATCCTGTATAGGAGCATAGAAAGTTGCTCAATGTGTATGACTGCATATATGACTCTGTATGACTGTATGCATGTGCCCTCTCTTGCAGGTACCTGTTCTCCCTGCAAATGAAGAGAGATTTGATGGAAGGCATACTGCACTGCACAGAAAACACAGTTGCCCTGCTGGCCTCTCACCTGGTCCAGTGTAAGTCCACCATGCAGGTGTAGGATCGTATGGATATCTGGAGCTCTTCAGTACAAAAGACCTCCTGCTTTCTGATGCTAACATGTCCGTTGGAGGTGTTGCCTTGCATTTTCACTACTACGGCATGAATCATCGTGCTTTACCAGAACCCAACAGTATTATATTTCCACAGTCAAAGCAGATCTATATTTCCTGGAACCCATTTTACTTCCTATATCTGTTTTAGTATCTAGTTTGGCCCATTGAGAAAGCTAAACCTCCCTAAGGGTGAATCATACTGCAGGGTTTAACTTGTTTGCTAGCATCGAATTGTCTGTTTCAGTAACAAGCCTGTAAGATATTCATGAACTGTTGACCATAGTTGTTTTTAATGTTAACTAGCTAAATATTTGTCCTTGACTAAAGTGTTGCTTGCATGTTGAAAATGAATGATTTGTGTACGTGACAAATTTGCATAGGTCACAAATTTACATATATCCTGGGCATCCATAGTAGAAGTCAAAGCACAACCGGTTTTATGATTCATCTAGGTTTAACTAATTTATCATTCATTCATCATTTCTCTATGAATCCACACCTTTCCTTTTCATCCAGCAGAGGTGTTGCAGGAAATTGTTCCTGTGGTGCTGGTTTTGTTGAAAAATGCCCAGGCCGTTATTTTATTTATGTAAAAAAAAGAGGACCCAGCATAAACCCAGTGTTCCTGAATAGGCTTTCTGATCCCTTGTGCGTGTTGCTTCTAGGAGAATTTTAGTAGAATGACAGGAGGAAAGAGTTTGACAGATGCATAACAACATGCTGGCTCTTGTCCATGTATTTAGGACAAACTGGCATTTTTAATAATCAAAGCGTGTCAGATTGTCAGTTGACAAAAAGGGGTTAAGGAGGACAGTGAGGGGGCAGACATTTCTGTCCTCAGCAGTTCATTACAGGCTGATCTCTTCTCCTCCTGCTGCCAGCACTAAATATTTCATGCCAAACTGCTGGTGAAGAGTTTGTTCCTGTTTCTGGTAGACCCAGAATTTTTTAGATGTGACTGTAATAGAAGGTGCAGTTTGCGGACACGGCTTCTTTGCGGACACGGATTCTCAGGTTGTTTTTTGTTAGTTTGCAGTAACTTAACATATAAAAGACATATTAAAGGTCTATTCTAAGAAAAAACAGTATCACAGTGCTGTCCTGGGAATGATGCCAAAGCACGCACATTTTACCCCCTTGTGATGTCAGCACTCAAACTATTTGGGCCAATAGATCAGATTTCAATAGATCATGTCTCCATTTTTATTTCCATTTTTGTCTAACAGAATTTGTAAACACCTACCCATTACACTGTGTTTAAAATTTCTCAGTTTTTTTAGACTTCAGAATTTGTTTCATCATCTGATACCATTTGAATACAACAGCTGCCCTTTACAACGTGCAAAAATTTCATGGTACATGAACGAATAGAGGTTTTCCAGAATTATGTGGAATAAAATCTCTTAACTCTTACTTTCCTTTAAAGTTACAAACTTTTTAACTTTCTCCTGTAAAGTTACCATTTTGTAGGTGCATGTTTTTTTTGACGGAAATGATATGCTTTTAACAATCAAACAGAAGTGTCAAATCATTATTCACAAAAAACCTGCTCCTCATACTGTGGACTCGCACTTTGAAACTTTGAGTGCTGAAGCTACATATACCCAAAGCCTTAGCAAATAGCTGTTTTATGTAAAGTTTTGCAGATACTTTATTGAAAAGTAACTGTGAGAATTCAACTCACGAAAGAAGGTGAAGTGTGCCAAAACTTGACATGACTTATTACACTTTGTTCTCAAAGCATAGATTTAACTTCTTTATTTCTCTCATTCTTTGGTTCTTTTGTCCTTGGTTTTTTAATTAATTCACATTTATCCTTGCTCTCTCTCTCTCTCTTTCTCCCTTTTTTTCCTTCTCTCTCTCTCTCTCTCTCTCTCTCTCTCTCTCTCTCTCTCTCTCTCTCTCTCTTTCTCTCTATCTCACACAGCGGAGATCGGAGACTATGATGATGTCGCAGACAGGGAGTTTCTGAAGCTGAATAAGCTGTTGCCACATCAGGAACATCTGCAGGAGAAGATTATGGAACTCCACCGCAGACACCTGTAAGACCTTTAGCTATATCATCCCTCCTTTTCCTCACAGGAGTGATGCATACTCTGCACTGTTTAAAACAGATGTGTTACGTTTGAACACATCTGTGTGTCCACTAATGGACAACACATTGTTCAGGGGTTGTGTTCTTGTGAAACCGACACAAACATTTAGTTTCCTGGTCAGGGACTAGGCTACATTTTTCTTTGAAGGAGGAATCTGCATTCACAGTGTCTGTAGTCCAGGTCTAGACTTAATCCCTCTCTGGGAAACCGACCCTTAATGTTTAAAAGTAGTGCTACCATTGATTGTCTTTTTCTGGTCTTTGAATGCAACTATTAAAATACAAGCCTAGAACGGCAAATTGACTGATTTCGCTGTCTTGCTTCCTAGTCGTTGATGCATAGGAGCTCTTAATCAAGCTCAAATAAACAAACATTACTCACTGCTGGCTTTAGCATATTCTGTAACAACACGAAGTAGATTTTTTTCCCCACTCGTTATCGTGCGTGTTTAACTGATAATGCTGTGCTGTTATGACAGGCATCTTGAGAGGTTTTTACATTATGATTATATCAATTATTGAAGCAAAAAAGACAAAGCATAGATACAATAACCATAGCCTTTAGGTTACTTCACATGATTAAGCTTTAGCCATTTTGTAATTTTAACAAGATGAGGTGATTTATAGACTGTAAATATGTGATTTATTAAATCTATAGCAAAAACTTACAAACCATAGTGAGAAGAAAGCAGAAAGCATATTGATTTTCTCTGGTTTAAGCAAGCATGGCAGGTAATATACATAACCTGCTGTGCTGAACAGGTTACTGGAGAAAGGTGATGAAAGAGGATCTTGAGGCTGTCAGTGCAAAAGAGAAGGGGATGTGATTGTACAACAACAATTGATACATGCTATCACAAGGCTAATGTTAACATTTCATTTTGAGAGCTAACAAGTTTGGCACATGATTGCAATCAGCTGAAATAATTAGGATCAGGTGATTGTGTGATAATGGTGACAGACCTAGTTGTAGTTGCTCAGTCAACATATTTTGTGTCTAAAATTTGTTTCTTTGGGTTTGTACTGAAGCAATGAGATTAAATTGGATAACACACAGAGCCTGTTTGCACCGTGCATTTACATGTGATTTGTGTCCAGGTTGTATCTGAATAAACTTTGGCCGGATTCTATTTACACTGTTCACTAAAATGCATAATTGTGTTCGGATAACGAAAATGAATTCCGTTTACACTTTTGCTAAATGTGGTCAGGATCCATCTCTGACCACCTCTGAATGTGGTTTGAGTGATCTGATTGTAATCCACACGTAGTGTGTGCTAGGAGTGTTTACGCCTGGCTTTTCATGCAGTCAAGTGAAGACACATGTTAATGCAAGGTGTGAACAGGCCCATTCTGAAAGCTTATTCCCCACCACTTAGTGTTGTGCAAACTACATGCATACATCACAGCCTTGTCCCAAACTTTATCAAACTAGCCTTGTCACACCAGTGCAAAATTAAAAAAGTGAACTTCAGATGTTAAATATGTCTTGGTTGATTGGGAAATTGGTAAAAAGTTTATTTTTCCATAGTATTCCTTCAATACCACAGTTTTCTGGAACTTTCCATTACGTCTTTACAAATAGATGGAGCAGTGTTTCTGATCAAAACAGTGGGGTTTATTTGCTAAATATTGCTTAGAATCACACCACACAGGACGAAAAAAATTTTCTCATCTTCAGTCTTCCGTCGTGTATAACTTCATAATACAGCATGACACACTGTTCTTTTTCATATCTCGAACAGGCATAATTAGTGAGAGGGGTGTGTAGTGTTTAAGTGATGGTGAATGTGTGGGCTGTTTAGAGGCAGTTCTAGAAAGCCTGCGATTCCACTCTCTCTGACCTTTTGGAGATGCATGAAAGTTGTTTGAAAAGCTTTCAGACGGGGATTAGACATGGCGATAATGTCAGGCAGCTGTTCCACGCGAGCGCTCCAAATAGGCCCTTCCTCCAGAGCTGGCGTGCTCTTCTGATCTGAGTACAGGAGATAAGAGAAATTGAAAAATTGGAGAGGCAGAACTGACAATGATGAAATGGCGTCTTTATTATTTCAGATTAATCCTGTGATATTACTGTCCTTGAGGATTTACGGTGTCATTTTTCACCTTATTAAAATGATAAACTAGGAACAGTGGATATTTTGTAGAAATAAGTACATGAAATAAGACAATAGTTTGGCAAAAAATCTAATTTGCACATTTGCCCCTTACCTCAATTGTGGTTCGTCACCCAAGACATGTTTAATGTCTGATGTTAGTTTTGCACTGGAGCTGTGAGGCTGATGCAACTAACAAGTAACATAAGCTTATACAGTTTTTGCAAATTAGTATTGTACAATCTACATGCCTAAATCATCACACTTGCCTCAAAGTGCATCATTGACTCCAGCCATATGTTAAGTACCATCACCAATTTATTAAGTAATCTCAAATACACACCTTTACGTAGTTTTTGACACTGTAGCATCTGTAAACATTGACAAAAGTACAAAATACTGCTAATACTGTTTTATGTTAATGTAATTCTGCCCATTTTGTAAAGTTGGCAAACTAATGAATTATTCTTTTTCATTGAACTATTATTTTGATCCCTTCAGCTCTTAGGACCCTAATTCAGTTATTAATTTTAAAGTGATCGTTCATCATAACTATGTACTGGCTCATACTATTTGCTACATAAAACTTAATATAAGTAGTAAGTTGACAGTTTCTTTCTTTATTTTTCTCCCTCTCTGTCTCTCTTTCTTTATCTATTTTCTTCCTCCCTCCTTCCATCCCCCCCTCTCTCTCTCTCTCTCTCTCTCTCTCTCTCTCTCTCTCTCTCTCTCTGTGGGGTACCGTCAGGCTCACTGGCTGTGAGAGGAGCTTGAGCTTCAGCTCGGCTCTGTTAGGCTGTGATTCTAATCCTGCGGTTAAGGCCCCTTTATTAGCCATACAGCCGCTGGGCCAGAGGAGGGGCCTGAGCAGATTTCACAGCTTAAGGGATGAACTAAATTAGAATGTGCTGATAATGTGGCACTGGGCCAGTTCTGGTCCACGATTACCCGGAGCCTGGAATAAACATATAGATGATTGGACAGCTTCATCTGCTGGCTAAGGCTTTAGTCCTGTCCTACATGCCATTTGGTTGTAATCACACACTTTGAGATGTTTCCTGTGTGTCTAAAGGGTGATGAAGGCTGCTGTAGAGGATGAGAAAGGGTTAAATTCGACTGATCTTCACAGAGCAGGTCTGGCAGTTCCTTTAATGGCACCAGAGCCTGATTCAGCCTGGGCTTTATTCAGTGTGTTTGTCTTGTCCTGTCTTATAAGAAATGTGTTTGTGCTTTACTTAAAATCAAAATCCAAATGTTATGGAATCACCAGTGCCTGTGAGTGCAAGAAACTGTTTGAAATACAATTCAACCTAATACATAAACAATCACTCATTAGTAAACAAACTCAAGCCTGACCTGAGCCTGATGATGGGTCTGTTAGGCTCTGGTTGGGTATCAGGCTGCTAAGCCACACTGGCCCTTTGTGGATAAGATCGGACACCGCAGGGCAGGGACAGTTAAAAAGAACATAATAAAGGCAGAAGTTCCTTAAGGTTCTTTAATTTCTTCAGGCCATTGTTTATTGGAAAGTTTTTAACCTGTAGCATTGAAGGTGTGCATGTTGGCAAATGTGATCATCTGCTTAACTGTGAACCCCTTCTGAGACATCCTCAGAGATCGGCCTTTAGTCATACCTTTAGATAAGGTGAAGATAATGTAACATTGGTGACTCAATTTCTTTCATTTTTTCCCCCATCATTGCCCTGCTTTTTAATGTTTAATATTTAGCCTTCTGAATTCATTCAGAGCAAAAAGGTATTATATATATATATATATATATATATATATAATCACTCAATTTTTTAATCTAAGAGACAACTTCACTTATTCCATATAATATATGCATATTATAAACCTGTGGCTTCTATCTTTGTCTCCTTCAGGGGTCAGACACCAGCAGAGTCTGATTTCCAGGTTTTGGAGATTGCTCGTAAGCTGGAGATGTATGGAGTGCGCTTCCATCCAGCCGCAGACCGAGAGGGCACCAAGATCAACCTGTCAGTCGCTCACATGGGCGTGCAGGTCTTCCAGGTGAACATTGCGTATATGTTGGCTTTTATTCATTTGTTATTGGCTAGTCAAAAATGACTGTACTCTTAGCTTAAATGTAGCTTTGTTATTTACTCAAAATCTCTTCCTCAGGGCATCACCAAGATCAACACATTCAACTGGTCCAAGATTCGCAAACTGAGCTTTAAAAGGAAGAGATTTCTAATTAAGCTTCACCCAGAGGTTCATGTGAGTATAACTTACTGTTGCACATGCAGCTAATGAAATTAAACTTCAGGTTTAATGCTTTCTTCTATCCATTTAGCTGGTTAGATCCAATTCCTAATCCCGTCTTGTCATGAGTGACGTTTGTTTTTCTTCGGAGATCACTTACACGGGGAGATGAAAATCAGTACCATGTGTTTCTTCATGTCATCTTTCACCAGATCTCTCTCTAACCGTGATTGTTTTTTCAGTGATTATTCCTCCCTCCTTCATGTTTTAGGGTCCTCACAGGGACACATTGGAGTTCATGATGGCCAGTCGAGATCAGTGTAAGATATTCTGGAAGAGCTGTGTGGAACACCACTCTTTTTTCCGTCTGCTGGATCAACCACAACCCAAATCCAAAGCCATCCTCTTCACCAGAGGATCCTCCTTCAGATACAGGTACTGCAGGTGTATGTGTGTGTATATAGGACATACACAGAATATGTACCTTTAGGTGTATCTGTTGGACATGCAGATAACTCACTCTCAGTGTAAATGCTCAGTTACAAGGCTAAGCACTTAAACAAGATTGAATTGTTACTAGGGTTGGGATGGCTACCAGTTTTAATTATATAACCTGGCATAATACCCACTGATAATCATAAAGTAAATAAGTTTAATAATCTTAATAATGGTGTGTGTTTACTTTTTAAAAAGTCAGTATGGATGTACATAGCCTGTTGCTGTCTCCCTACAAAGCATGTGCCAGAGTAACATGTTTATATAGTAATAATCTGAACAGTAAACAGGTGTAGGTTTAGTGATAAGTTCATCCATTCCTAGTCACTGCTCATTAGTATGAAATAATTAGCAGTTGAGTTTAAGTAACGTATAAATACTGCACATGCACTTAAATGCTTATGTGTGAATGGCTGTGTTTTTAAAAACAGCTTTGATAGAGTAATCGCATTGTTATTGGTTTGTATGTTTTGTGACAGTGGGCGGACTCAAAAACAGCTGGTAGACTATGTGAGGGACAGTGGGATGAGAAGAACACCCTACCAAAGGTGAGGCAAAGTTAATATCATACATGATTTGTCTGTACTATATCCATGCTGACACTAAGGGATGTAACTGTCTCTTGTCTGTTTTGTTTTTGTATTTTGTATCTGTCAGGAGGAACAGTAAGATTCGTATGTCAGCTCGATCTTTGGCCACTGATGTGCCTAAGCAGGTCAGTAGAGAGGACAAAGTTCCCTAACATTAAAATAATAGTTTGATAAAACTTTAAATTTACAGTTGTCTGCTCGCCAAATGTAGTCAATAAGTCATGACAAGTTTGCTTTAAAAGTATGGTCAAAATTCAGGTTTCAAGATGACTGTTATTTGTTTTAGCTAAGTAATGTACTTTTGTCCATTGTTTAAGCATGCGATTAGCCTGCTGACTGGTGAATTATAAATTTCCATTGCTTGTTAGCTGTATTAGGTTCATAGCTCTATTGTAAAACTAAAGAAGGAAACTTTATCAAACATGTCTTGGCTGAACAAATAATTTTGGGGTAAGGGGAAAATGTGATTAAAAATAATGGTACAGAGTTTTTTATATTAGGTGACCATTCTTTCTTACTCTTTTTTCCACCACCTCTTTATCCCCCTGTCTCTTTTCCTCTCTTTCAGAGTCTGTCCTTCAATGACAGCCTCAGGACATCTGCTTCTCCCTCCTCTGCCACCGTGTCTTTCCACTCCCTGCACGCCCCCAGTTCTCCTGTGCGGATGGAGGCCCCAAGCCAGCCTCAGTTCCAGCAGAGCCAGCAGTCTCAGCAGCCTGCCAGAGCCCCCAGCCCCGTGAAGGAGGAACCTGTCAAGACCAACCCCCCAACTAATTACATCTTCCCAGGTGCCCCTCATAACACGGCTGCAGGAGACTGCGGCCCCTCGTTTGTGTGTGTAGAGAGTAGTCCCTCCCGTCCGTGGCCCTCCCAAAATGGCAATGAGGATGGCGAGTGTGTGGGAGAGGGTGGGCGGGGCAGGCCTGGCAGCTTTGGGTTGGGAGGGGCTTCCAGAAAGGGTTTCCTCACTCCTGAGGAATTTGAGGCAGAGTTAATGCGTGGCAGGCAAATTTCTATGTTTCCACTAGGTGGTGCACAGCTGCAGGTCAGCGAAGAGTTCATAGACGATGATCCTACCGAAATGTCATTTTATGCTGGCGGAGCAGAGGCATACTCGTACGGCTTTGATGAGAAAGCAGAGCGCTTTGAATATGGCGACAATACTGCGCAGACCACATCTTATGCTTTGTCTCTGGGAGACCTAAACGGTAACACTACGACATTCTCAGAGAATGCTTTCGGCCGCTCTGAAACCAGTTCAATGGTTAATAACCAGTCAGAATGCAGCTCTCTGGATAATCTGCCCTTGGGCTCAGCCGGAGACTCCATGTCCCTAGGCTTTGGAGGCCCTGACTCGTCTTCCTCTTTGCGCCTGCCAGGTTCTGAGAACCTGTCTGAGGCCAGCTCCATGGTCAACTTCCCAGCGTACTCAGTGCGCTCGGAGGCCAGTTCAGCTATGCAGTTTAACGAGCTGGTGGAGCAGCTGGAGCAGCTTAGCTATCCACCCACAGCCACCGAGGGCTCAGCCAATGGCAGCTCCGACTCCGACTCGGACTGGGGCTCGGATGGAGGGCTGCCCCCAGAGCAGAACCTCTTCTTTAGCAACCCGCTCATCGGGGGCACAGGGGTGGAAAGCTTCCTCCTGGAGTGCCACAACCTTCGAGGATTAGGCCTTGGAGACCCCCCTAGCCTCCACCCAGCTTAAGATGTGGGGCCCTTATTCTGAATTTACCTTATTCATATAGCAGCCATTTTGCTTAATACATTTATATTAGTCAGTCAGCAGCTATGGGTAAGTGTCTTTACAGTCCCACTGGCTCATTTTTCAATGTTTTTATGAAATAAAACCCTCCGTTTGTCTACAGTATTCAGTGTAATGAAGCAAAATGACCACTGTGACAATAAGGTAAATTAGGCCTCCCACTTTACAGTGCTGTAATGTGCTAGAGCAGTGTTTCCTAACCCTGGCTCTGAATTATTTTAGTGTTTTCCCTGCTCTGCTGCACTACAACTCTTGTTAAGTAGCTGATTAGTTGTTGGGAGTGTGTCAGAGGAGGGAAAACACCAAAATATGCAGGGCAGGTGTGTATGAGGACCAGGATTGGAATCCACTGAACTAGAGTAAACCCTTGGCCCTGAGCCAAGTGGAGCAACTTGTCTTTAATGCTGAACGTGACAAGATATTTCTCTTTCCAACATGTAATCATCTATAACGTAGTGTGCACTTCCTTTTAGCACGTCGTCCTGCCACTTTTTCTCTATCTGGTGCACTTATCCACTAGTCTTTCTCTCTTTCTGGTGTGTCTCCGTTTTCTAAATGTCTGCTTTGTTGTACGACATCTTGTTCAAACATGCTTTCTGGGTCTACAATCATTCTTGTATGATTTGCAGCTGACAGTAATCTTTCTTTTAAGGCAGTGTTCTACTTCATGTACAGGTTCAGTTCGCTTATTTGCTTCTTTCTGATCTGTAACATGCTATTTTCCTTTTCCTAAATCTGAATATATTTTGTTCTTGATGAATAGGCTGGACCTCAGTGCAGGTAGCACTGATTGGTGATGAGTTGGTGATGAGCTGTGGACTTTGAAGGAGAATATTAAACAAATGATTTTTATCTGATATTGGTGGTATTGTGCTCGGCACCGGAATGTATTGCTTCAGTCTTGTAAAATAGGAATCTCTATATTAGCTGATTGATATTTTAAGTGCCAATTTCGGTTTGCCTTGAGGCCATACCAGTTTATTGTAATGAACAGTCGTATAGTATCCCAATTATTGTCTAAACAGTTTAATGACTTAAGCTTTGGTTTACAGCAATGTAGCAAATTGTTTGGCAAGTCAGTCAAACATGCTGTCTGAAAAATAATTGCTAAAACATGTTTTGTTCCGTTGCCTTAAACATGCCAGTGCACAGATTTTAGCCAGAAGAAAAATGTTTTGTCTGATTCCACAAGTTTCATCTGATTATCAGATGTATGTGGACTTTCATGTTGGCGCTTGTACCAGAAATACAAAAGAAATATCTGATCTTCTACAGTGCTTGATGTTCACTTTGTATAGCTCGTTTATGCCATTCTGCTCAGGGCTCTCGTGAATTAGAAGGGAAACTTATGTCGATTATCGACAGCAGTAACTCTCCTCTATCGCTGAGAAAAAGCTCGAGCCACATTTTGGTTGAGGCTCAATCTCATTGTATTTTATTTTGTGTTAAACCATTCACTCCACAGCGCCCCCTGCTGTAAAGTAGTTTTCCCATTTTACCCTTTCTGCTCTTACTGTGCCTTAATGATGCCTTTCTGTGGTGTCAGTACTGTATCACTTTGTAGCTTGACTCTCTGTATTGCACAGTTATCCTTCCTAGACAAGCCTTTGCATCCTTTCACATCATTGCACATAGATTAGCATCTGTAGTGTTTTTTTGTTCGTACACCAGAGAATGTAATTGTGCTGTATCAAGTGCTGTAAGAAGCTGTGAATACCACTGCTTGGAATGTAAAATGAATGTAAATGATCAGTGAATGATACTTATCCGTAGAGTACAAGATCCATATATAGACCAACAGAAATGGAAGCCAAGATCCAGAGAATTTTATATAAATATAAATTATATGAATCCTATGGATGTTGGGTTCTGTTTAAGGGTGGGTGATGTGACAAAAATATATCACAATACTTGAAGACATTTCCATGCTTTTTGTAGCTGAGATTTGTTTTAAAAAGTATTGTCAACATCTAGGAGTATAGTGAATCCATACTGTGCAACACTAAATCCAGTTAAACAGATGCACCAGTATGTAAATTTCAGGCAGATGATGGGGTGTGTGTGTGTGTGTGTGTGTGTGTGTATATATATATATATATATATATATATATATATATATATATATATATATATATATATATATACACATATGTATGTATGTATGTATGTATATATATATATATATATATATATATATATATATATATATATATATATATATAAAATTATTAACATTATGGAGATGAACTTTTTATAGGCTTATGAATGCAGTAAAATGAATAAAATGCATTTTGCCGTAGTATGCCAGCATCGCTTAAACATTGTGCTCTTACAAGAAATACCCCATCAAATCCAGTGCTATTCCAGGATATACTCAAAGAAAAAGGATTGTGACATGGTTTATCACAATACCGCTACAAATCTCATCATATTGCCCACCCTGAAATCTGTTAATAGATTGTTGCTGTCAGGATAAAACCTTGCATCCAAAAATGAAACTTTACATGAGAAGGAAAAAAAACCTTCTTAGCTTATAATGTAAATATTTTATTAAAATTATTTTTGGACCATTTCTATTGGTCTGTTCACCATGAAATGTTAACAAATGTGAAAAATAAAATGAAAGGACAACCAGTTTTGTTCCGACAGCGACTATATGGATATGGATATGGACACGTAGATAGACGGATATGTAGAATAGGTGCATAGCTTAATATACTACAGCTTTTAATGCAGAACTTGTTTTGTTCTCCTTACCAGATTAGGAGAGAAAAATGAAGTTTTACAAAGTGGCCTTCCTGATTGAAGGCTCGGTGGGACCGCTGATTTTAGGTACTTTTCATAATAATGTGCTGATCCTGTACAACGGATTGTACTTCTCCAGCTTTGCCTTTGAGGTTTCATAAGCACTTCCTTCACATGTCTTTAAACCTTCCTTTCCTCACTGTGCTCTTGCTTTCTCTTCTTCATTTGTTTGTCTCTTTCATAAGCCTGTGTGATGCATTAAAGTTGACATTATTGTACTAGACATTACACAGTGCCTTAACAGGGAACATCAGCTGCATGCAGTTGTGTATTTGAGTGACGTCCAGGCCACTGAAATGCCTTTGGTTTCTGTTTTGGTTTCTGGGCTGCGGTGCGTTCCATGAGTACATCGAGTTCTAGACCACAAGATGGGGCACGGTTAGTGCAGTTTTTCCTCTTGGGTGATGTCATTTCCTTTTCCTTTCTTTTCCGAAATCCCGTTTTTAATTTCCTGCCTCACTGTGCCCAGGGGCCGATTCCAGCCAGGCTCTCTGGAAAGCAGTTTGCTTCTTCTCAGTTCCACTTTGAACTAAATTTCAGTTGACAGTTTTGCGGTATTACGTTCCTGTGGCGATCCTTTTTGGCACTTTTCGGCAGTGGTTTTGTATATTAACCACTTAGTTAAAAGCAAAATGCTCTGGATTCCACAGAGATGAGTTTAAAAGGACAATAAAATTTTGTTTCAAACTCCTGTGCTCCGTCTGTTTACAAACGAAGAAAGCCATGGTGAAAGAGAATAAGCTGGAGTGAAGACAAGCATGTGACGGTGGAATTCTGCTTGTTCGGTTTGGTCTGTATATAAGCCAAGGGAGAGTTCATTCTCATTGTCATTTTGAGAGCAGACGAGCTGCCTTTCAGCTTCCATTGCATTAATTTGATCTGTATCATATTCCTAAAGCCTCTCTACTCTCACAAGCGAGGGCGAGCAGCAGCCAATGTAACCAGGCTAAGGAGCAGAATGGCCATCCAACTAACGATGCCCTCTAGGAGGGCAGAAAAATCCTTCCTTGGACACTTGGACCTCCACTTCATTTTACGTCAACGTGGCATTAGTTCAGTTTAAGTCATGTTGAAATACTGTTTTTGGAAGTAATCTGGAAGAGGCACATTTTTACACTGTGTTTTGGAAATGTCCACAAGGTCCAGCCAGTTTTTTGTTGTTGTATGATTGACCTTAAATCCTTAATGCATTTACCCTGAAAAGGCTTGGATCTATAACAA